TCTTTTTTACTACTAAAACAAATACACAATAAGAAAAGAAAAGAAACAAACTTAAATATTGAAACTTAAATACAAAAGAAAAAAGAAAAAAAAACATGTCATGTGCACAGCAGAATGTTAAAAGAGGATTAAAACTATATAGCAATAAATTCCCAGGGGCCACTAGGGGCCGCAGTGGATAGAGCACCAGCCCTGGAGTCAGGAGGACCTGAGTTCAAATCTGGCCTCAGACACTTGACACTTACTAGCTGTGTGACCCTATTGCCTAGCAAAAAACAACAACAAAAACAAAAATTTCCATTTCAAGAATGCCTATATAATAAGTACTGTGTGTTGTGTTGAGAGCTGTCCATTTTTTCTTTGCTTCCTTGTAAGTTTTCTTTTTTCCTCTGCTATGCATGTTTTACTTTGTTCTTTTTTTTACCCCCTTCTTCCCTCCTCCTCCGAAAGCTACAATTAATCACAGATGTATTCATATAGAGATATACACCTACACACACATACATATACAGACATATACTTGTCCTAACAAATTCTACTTCTGATCATTGTTTTACATTTGTGTGTATGTCTTACTTCCTATCCCTCCTGACTCCTCTACTTTATTTTTACCGGCTACCTTATTGTCCTATTACTTAAGCTAACCTCCTTTCTTCAAGGATCCCTCCATTATCCTCCCATTCCCATAAATCTAAACACCCTTCTATACCTCCCTTTGACCTATTCCTTCACCCTCCCCTCTAGAAATCCCTCTTCCTTTGCCCCCCCATCCCCTTGGCATTTTATCTCTGAATTTAGAAGACTTTTATACTTTTCTAGATATATAAGTATTGTTCCCTCTTGAACCCATTCCTGAGGAAAGTAGGTTTCAAGAACTAACAGACCTCCTCCTCTATCTAATTCCTCATCAGTTCTTCCTCTTGCACCTCATTTGTATAAGATAATTACTCTTTTTAGCTGTTCCTAAACAGTTTTACTTTTTGAAGTCATATCATACTCAAGTCTACCCCCCCAATCTTTCTTATGAACTACCCAATTACTAATAACGACATATGTTTTATATTTTACATACATAAAGGGTAAATACTCTGTCCTTATTGAGTCCCTTGTAATTAGTTTGTGCCATATACCTATACGTATTTTTTTGTTGTTTTGGCTTCTGTGTCAAATCTTTTATTAAGTTAAGGTTTGTTTGTTTTTTTAAACAAAATCCTGAAGGTCTGTCAGTTCATTAAATGTTCTTTTTTTTTTTTCATTCAGGATTGTGCTTAGCTTTGCTGGGTATGATATTTTTGCTTGGAACCTATGTTCTTTTGCTCTTCATATATAGTGTTCCAAGACCTGCAGTCTTTTAGTGTTGTCACTGCTAGGTCTTGTGTGATTCTAATTGTGGCACCAACATATTTAAATTTTTTTCTTGTTGCTGAAAACATTTTTTCTTTGAGCTGGGGGTTTCAGAATTTGACTATAATATTCCTGTGGGTTTGCCTTATAGGATCTCTCTCAGATGGTGATCAGTGGATTTTTTCCTATTTCTACTTGTTCTAAAATGCTTTAGGATAATTTTCTTTCATTACTTCTTGTATTATTATATTAAGATTTTTTTATCATCATTTCAAGTAGTCTGATTGTTTTTGTGTTTTCTCTTCTTGATCTGCTCTCCAGATTAGCTGTTCTTCTTATGAGATATTTCATATTCTCTTCTATTTTTTCATTCTTTATATTTTGCTTTATTATTTCTTGATCTTGTATAACCTCTCTGTCTTCCCCTTGCCAATTCTAATTTTCAAGGAGTCATTTTCTTCCTTAAAATTCTGGATCTCCTTTTCTAATTGGCTAACTTTCTTTTCATAATATTCTTGTTTGTTTTTGATTTTTTTTTAGCTTTTGCTCAATCTCTCTTATTTGATTTTTAAAGTCATTTTTAAGTGCTTCTATGAATTCTTTCTGGGCAGGTGACCATTTGACATTACTCTTTGGGGGTAGAAGTGGGTTTCTTTGCTTCAGTATCCTCCTCTGAAGATGAACTCCAGTCTTCTCTATTCCCATAGTAACTCTCTATGGCTGAATTATTTCTCCTTGGCCTTTGAATTTTTTTTTTTCATTTGTAATACCTTAGATTTTGTAATCATCTCTAGTCCTGGGGCATGGGAATGGTGGTGCCTGTGGCCTCAAGATCATTCTTCAGTTCTCCCCTCCAATCTAGAAACTAAACAGAGACTTCTAGCCTCCTGTAAGTGCCCAGAGCCAGCAGAATCCCTGCCCCATTCCTTCTGCACTCACCAATCTTGTGCTGGTTCCTTTTCACCCCCCACCATGTCTCTGCAGCACAGCTGGGTCTGGCGTTCCTTGTTAGCAGAGATTCCCTTGGTCTTCCCTGGCTCAGACACCCAACTCCCCTCACTCATTCCAGGGGTAAGAGTTCCTGCAGCTGGGGCTGAGGCAGCCTCCCAACATAGCTAATCCCAGGGCTTGCTGCTTGCTGTTCAAACAGATCTGGGACCTAACCTGGAGGTGTTACTCTCCACAGGGACCAAACCTGGTCCTGGAATTTTTCTTCAGATCTTCTCTGATTGTCCCAGAAATGTCCCTGTTCTACCCCTACTATTATTTATTTTTTTAGCACTCTATATTCAAAGGTGCTATTTTATCTTTTTTGTGGGGGAAAATCTTGAGAGCTTAGAATTTCTGACCTACTCTACCATCTTCCCAGAATCCTCTCCTCTTTGTTTATTTTTGCTTTACATCATTACATAAATGTCCTTCCAGAATTTTCCATATTCCTCATAAAAGTCCATGTTACTTGTATTATTTTAAAAAAATTCTTACATGGGTGTAAAACCATTCCATAGAGTTATTTTGACAGGTGATAGTGCACTGAACAGAGTGCTGAATCTGGAGCCAGGAAGTACTGAATTAAAATCTTGCTTAAACACTTGAAAAGCATTATGACCTTGGTCATGTTACAGCATCTTTATGAATCTAAATTTCTTTATCTGTGTCAATAAGCATAATGATAGCACATACTCCCACAGAATTACTATGAAAATTAAATGAGATAATGTACAAAGGATACTTTACATATCATGAAGTACTAAAGTATAATATATGATTATTCTTCTACATTTCACTATGCCACAGAAACATCTAAAAGTCTTCACTGTACCACAGAAACACTTAAAAGTGAATATATATTCCTCTGTCTGGTGACTGATAAGAATGGAGGACTGAATGACAGAACTAAAATTGAAGAATTAAGTATCTTTTCTACCATTTTTATGTCTTTTTATCATTTACACAGAAGAGGGAAATTTGCAAGTGGGAATGTTTGCATTTGTAGTTTTTAAGTACTAGGGAAAACTGAACAATAAATGAGCATTTATTAAATATTTATGTGTCAGGCACTGTGCCACAAAAATTTGACCTTCCATGCCCTTATGGAGCATTATACTGGGATTGGCATGAATTAACGGGATTTTTTTTGTTTAAATTTGTCCATGGGTTTGTCTCCTTGGCTGAAATGCTTCACAAAAGGGAGGCCCCACCTCAATGTCTTTTCTTTTTGTCAGCATATATGAAAATATCCACTTCAAGGAGAACTTCTTGGTAATTAAAGGCCAAGTGAAGAGTATAGGTCACACGAGGAAGACATAACATCACCATTCACATAATTTTTCGTATGACGCTTTTTTTTCTGGCTCTCAAATAGCATAAGACCAAAGTATGGACCACTTAACACCTCAAAAAACCTCACAGAAATTATGCACATGTTCTTGACTGTTGTCCCTAGAATTAAAGGAGCAATGGCTCCATACAACACTAGGGCAGGCAGGATGAGAAAAACACCAACCATCAAAGAGCCAAACTTTTGCAAAATTCTCACAGCCTTGTTTGTCCTCACATCCTCACTCCCTAACAGTTCCATTGTAACTCACTGAGGGCAATACAAAGCTAATTAAAACACCAGTATTTGATATCTATTTTTAGCATATTATGGCCACTGGAATCTTTCAATTCAATCCTTTTCACTTACCAGGAATTTTGCTCTAAACTTGTTCACCATAGCTTGAAATATTTCCAAGTTTCTCTCTACTCAAATCTCCTCATTGATATTTTAGAATCAGTAACATTTCTACTGACATGTTTCTATATCTATACTTTCTTTGCTAAATTAGGACTAACACGGACAATTATTTAAGTGACAATGTTTCCTTTTAATTTACATAAACTCCTTTTGTATTTAAAAAGAAAGCTATGTTCAACTGCATAGGTCTATATCTGTCTTTGTGTTTATTATAACGAATTGAATTTAAGCTTGATATAGGATTTATTTATGTTTTGTTTGAAATCAGTTTATCTTAGCTTATTGCACCCATTACTGACCATTATTAAGAGACGTGTTTGACTCTCATATCATGTATGAATTACATAGCTAGTCTCGGGATGTAGACCAGTCTGACCTTATGTTACCAGTATTTTAAGAAAAGGGTAATTCTTAATAAAGCAAAACATGTTTAACTTAATAAATGATTAGTCTTCACAATAGCACTATAAATCGAACATATTCATTAATTCCCTTAAAACTCTTGATCATTCATGAATATTGTTGTTCATCGTTTTCAATCATGTCTGACTCTTCACAATCCCACTTAGGGTTTTCTTATCAGAGATATTACAGTGGTTTACTATTTCCTTCTCCAGCTCACTTTACAGATGAGAAAATGGAGGCAAACAGGAGTAAGAGACTTGCTCAGGGTCACACAACTAGTGAGTATCTGAGACCAGACTTGAACTCAGGAAGATAAGGCTTCCTCACTCAAGCCCCAGCCCTCTATCCAATGCACCACTAAACTGCCCCAACTAGCCCAGATTTAAAATACAGTGATGTAAGGAATCAGCATATTCATATATACATGTATGCAACAATGTACAAGTACATATAATACGTAACTCTCAAATGAAAGTTGTTTTTGAATGAATCCATACATTTATAGTCATACCTTGGTAAACAGCTTTAAATCCAGGGGAGCCAATGCTATCATCAGACTGGAGATGTAGCCACATTTGATTACTCATACTCACGATAAGATCAGGTACACTAGATCCAGTGAGTCTGTATAGAAAGGCAAACAACAGTATTAATTAATGTAATATTTATATCTGCTGTTAAGCAGAGTTATGGTATTACAAAATTAAAAACAATTATTCTTACATGGAACAATTTTTTTATGATTGCCTATATGTTACAAGGGCATGAAAAATATTTACAAAAAATCATGCTTAATTAGCAGTCAATTAGATTCAATTAATCTAAAACTACTTTCAGTTTATATTAATTTGTAGATCCATGCTGTTTTTAAAAATTGAATTTGATAATACATTTATAAGTACAGTTTCATTTCTCTTCCTTTCAAATTCATCTCATATCAACACAGATACAATCTATTACCCATGTTCTGGATATAATGCCCCATCATCCAAATGTATTCATTCGTCTGTTTATTCACTGACTAGTGTAGGCAGAGAACTGTGCTAGGCTAACTCTGAAAAGGGAGAACATTCATAACCGAGAAACTGCTTTGATTATATCACAATATGTTCAGATGATCTATCATTTTATGTGCTTTTTATTCATATTTCTCCCTCAAAATCTCTTTAAATATGTCAACATATTTTAGCATAATGTAAAGACTGTATTACATTGGTCACTTAGCTGAAGGTTAAAATTGAAATGCATTTGGCAAAATTTAATAAACTCTATGAATGTTAATGTACACATCACCCAAAGTATAAGTAACAATGAGCCATTGTATGTTGAAAAAAAAAACAGTCACATCATGAATCCTGTCAGATCCTGAAAAGAAACACTAAAGACTGTGACTTTACTCCAAATCCTGGCAGAGAAGCACGTAAAAAAATGGAGGAGAAAATTGATTTCACCCAAACAAATGTCTCTAATCATATAGAAAGCATTGCTTGAAGCCATGTAGATCCAAGAATATGAACCCCTGATTTGTCCCATCCATCACACCATTTGTCTGTCAGCCCTGGATTCCCACCTCAGACAGAGGAAAACACCTGATGCCTCAGAGGAAGATGAATAGCAGTCATTAAATATGAAATAACGTGCAGTTGTGCACAAAATAAAAAATAAATAAATAAAAGAATTTCAGTGACATATCCAGTTGCTGAAAAGTATATTACTTTGAGGATTGTCTTAAAATTTTTGTCTGTGTGATCATTGCATATTTCAGTCTAAGTTTTATCCTTGCATCCTTATTCACAGGATTATGTCACCAAAAAGTCAGTCTCATTCTTTATCACATTAGTCTGATATCAGTACTTTATGACTAAGGGAAGATAAAAATTAAATGGGAGAGGCCTGTCTTTGAAACTTCATGTTCATTGTTTCTAAGGACCTTTTTTACTTATACACCATAAGATGGCGGGAAAAAGGGAAAGGGGAAAAAAAAACTTGCTTTATCTTTTAGTTTATGTTAAAGTGTGGAAGTATGTACATATGGATTATTATCCTTCAGATTATGATATCTTAAGCACTGCTTCTATGTATGCAATGGAACCAACTTAAAAGTACACACACACACACACACACACACACACACACACACACACTTCATCTTTTTGTTAATACTCTTTCTGCTCTCTCATCATTGAAAAGTAAACTGTCCTGTTGTGTTAAGGGACCACTGTCTAATTGAATTGGCCTTTTAATTCCCCCACACACACATTAAATTGAGAAGTTTGACTACACTTATCTGAACAGTTTTATTTTTTAATAATATTTTTAGGGATAGAAAAAAAAAAACCTAAACCTGGCTCTGCCAATTATTACTTCTGTGACCTTGGGCAAGTTATTTAACCTCTGTGATCCTCAGTTTCCTAAATTCAGAAATAAATGGGCTAGACTAGATGTCTTCTAATGATTCTTCTGTCTCTAAATTTACAATCCTATGATCTTACTTACAAAATGATTGGGGGTCATTTTATTGCATTTGATATTATGTAATAGAGAATAATTAAAGATTTAAATGACAACAAAAATGCTTAAAAAGCCATTTTGTTTAAGGCATTTGAATTTTAAGGAAGAGAGATGTTCATACTCAATCTGGATGAATCTTAGATGGGGATATTGTAGGGAGGATTCATGCTCAGGCAGGAGACTGAACTGGCTGAACCTAAGGTCTTTTCCTATTTCATGATTTTACGAAGTGACATAGGTAGACACTGAATATGATTTTGAGTTTTCTGTCAGCCAAGGAAAAGTACAAATGTGTTGGGTTATATAGTTTACATTACCCCGATAAAAGAAAGTATATATGTCCTACTAAAGAGATAATAAACACACACTTTTTTTAAACTAGATGTGTAATTTCACTAATATAGGGAACTTCCAGTAAAGATGCATCCTTGAACAATGCAGATTTGTAAGTGCTGTAGAATTTAGTCTTACAGAATTGTCAGGAGGCAGTGAGAGGTTAAGGGACTTGCCCTCAGCTACACGGCCAGTATTTTGTAGAGGCAAGACCTGAATCCATGACTTCCTAGACCTGAGCCAGAGGCTCTCTATACACAATGCTATCCTGTATTTCTTCAAAAAAAATACTTCTATTTTTTATAGAGCTTGAAAATTTACAAAATATCATTGGAGCCTCAAAACAACCTTGTGAGGTAGTTATATGGAGATTAGTTCTATTTTGTAGATAATAAACTGAAAAACTCAGAAAGGATAAGTGATTTGCTCATGGTTAAACAGCTAATAGGCACATGTGACAGTTAGAGATGGGATTTGAACAGTTTTCCTGTGTCTAAATCCAGCATTCTATCATGATTTTCTGACTTCCTAAAATTTGCAGCTGCTAACCTTGCATAATGATGATGTAAGCAACAGGTAATAGATAAGTGCATAAGAAGTTTAATCAAGGTAATGATAGATTTGGACTATCAAACCACACTCAAGTGTCTGTATTAAAATGCATTTAATCTTCATGCATATGAGTTTATAAAATGATTTTGGAGATTTTAAATGGATGCTTTAAATCTTTAGTTTCCTTAAGAACTATGACATGGAGAAAATATAGTGGCTTGATTGATAAAGTATCTGTTTTAACTCTATTTCTGCCATAAACTTGCTAAGTGACCCTGGACAAGTTACTTCTCTTCCTCTGAGCCTCTGTCTTCTCATGTAAAATGAGGGAATTGAACTAGATAAAGTTCCTTTCAGCTCTACAATTTAATGGTATATTACACATACACTGATGAGACCTTTCTTGTGCATGAACTTATTGAATAGGATTGCATAGGATCATAGAATCTTAGGGTCATAGACCTAGCGTAGAAAGGTACATAGATACAGTCTAGCCCAATACCTTCATTTTAAAGGTGAGTAGCCTAAAGAAGTCACACGAGCCATAAGCATCAGATATGGTATTTGTACTTGTCTTTCCATGCCTGAGGAAAGACTTTTGTCACAACAGCAGATCAAAGAGGACTCAGCACAATTTTACCAAGCTTTAATAGTTTAAAACATCTCTCTGTGTTCTAATATACCCCCATGGCTCAAGAGGAAGTGTGGTGTAGTACAGCACAAGAATTAGAATCAGAAGAACCATTTTGAAAGCAGAATGAGCTAATGGGGATTTGCCTTATTAGACATCTTTAAACAAAGACAGAATTATTGGGTGTGTTGGAGAAGGAATTTGTGTTTCAACATCTTTCAAATATTCCCCCACCCTCTTCTCTTCTCTTCTCTAATACTGCCACCATTCTAGTGCAGGCCCTTATCACATCACACCTGGACTACTATAATAGCCTGCCAATGGGTCTGCCTGCCTGAAGCCTCTCCCCACTCCAGTTCATCCCTTACTCAGCCACCAAAGTGATTTTCCTAAAGTGCAGGTCCAACTAAGTCACCCTCCTACTCAATAAACACCAGTGGCTGCCTAGTGATTCCAAGATCAAATACAAAATTTGTTTGCAAAGCCCTTTATAACCTATTCCCCTCTTACCTTTCTAGATTTCTTCTACCTTACTCCCTACCATCTGTTCTCTAATTCAGTGACACTGGCCTCCCGTTTGTTCCAGACACTCCATTCCTCAGCTCCAGTCATTTTCTCTGGCTGTCCTCCATGTCTGGAAAGTATTCTTCCTGGCTTCAAGTTCCAACTAAAATATCATGTTTTACTGGAAGCCTTCCCCATGCCTCTTAATTCTAGTGACTATCCTCTTTTAATTATTTCCTATTTATTATGCATATAGCTTTCTTTGTACATATTTGTTTATGTATTATCTGCCCCATCAAATTGTAAGCTCCTTAAGAGCAGGAACTGTTTTTTGTATCCCCAGCACTTAGCAGAATGCCTGGAACATAGTGGGAATCTAATAAATATTTATTGATTTAATGACTGATTGAGTTAGGGGTTTAACTACATGGCCACTGAGTTCCCTGCCAACTCTCAAATTCTGTGTCAGTGAAAACCTGGGTTTGAATCATAGCCCTTAACTTACTAGCCATATAATACTTAAGCTCTCATAGCCTCCATTTTTATCATCTGTGAAAGAAGATAATGGTGACGTTGGGAGGAAAGCACTTTGTAAACTACAGAGTGCTGTCCAAATATGAGTTATTATTCTATATCAGATGTGGTTTGAATTCAGTAACATTTAATAAGCTCTATAATACTTAGTATATTAAAGAATTTATTCAAGGATGAAATGACCTTTGATGATGTATCCCTTTTCTCCTTAGTATCACTGGCCAAAAATGCAAGATTCTTTGCATATGAAAATGGGTCAGAGTTATTTTTATGCTTAATTGCTCCCATATGGCATGGTCACTCTTGGATGCTCTGGTAACTGTTTTTATTAGAGTATATTCAACAGCAGTATCTCTGGGTAGCCCCATTTCAGTACAGCTTTTTTCTTTGGCCCTAGGCAAAAGGTTCAGCAGTACTTCCCTAACTTGAACAAATGGAACTGCTAGGTAGAAACGGATTGAATGACCTAAGCATGTCATGGTGACAGATGTGAGATGCCTTGTCTAAAAATGGAAATGATTACAATTGCATTCCACTAACTTGTGCCTACATGGGAATT